TGTACATTTCCATATTGTTACAAGAAACAACATAAGGAGCAAGCCAGGGTATAGCTTCTGGATTGGTCTTTGTCCCGAGCATTACAAACGTAATTTTGTTAGTTGGACACTTGAAAACTAACATGGTTGCTTTGTGCGTGCGAAGGTTTTGGGGAGATCATCGCCCAATGACAAACTTTTGTCTGTTCATGCCCTTAAAAGAAGAGGCCATGTCGTCGCGGTAACTTGGAATTGAGAAATTAGATGAAACCCATATGCAAAATCCATCTATCATTTTTTTTTCATCTTTTTGGTTATATTTTCCTTACTGGTGTTTGAAATGAATTTCAGGCAGATATTGGCCTTGCTGTGTGAGAAATTGAGAATTCAAGGAAAATAAGTGGCTAAGGAGAGCTTGGAAATCATCACGTTTTGCTTTGTTATATCCACTTCCGTTGTTAAGGTTTGTCAAACTTTTGCCTTGTTATATCTTCACATATAACTAACTACTTATGTTTGATATCCTCTTTAGCCGTTATTAACATTTCGAAGAATGTTTTATGGCCAGCTTTCCGATTTATGTTGTCCTGAAGTTCCACTGTTGAAACTAATGTTCATATACACATTCTTAGCTTACATGTTTTTGTGTCTTTCCTCCTTGTTATTGTCTTGTGAATTATTTAGTTTGCATGAAAAAATGGTTGTTTATGGTAAGCCATCCTTGGTTGGGGAAATTAATGTATTCTCTGTGGAGAGAGAGAGAGAGAGGAAACTTCTCTTTGAAGAGAAAATTCGTTTTCATACATCTGATGTCATGCCCAAGCTCTTTTGATAATTTTGATGGTCGAATAGTAGCTTCTTTAATGCTTGAGAATAAAAGAACAATGGGGGTGCTACTTCTGAAGATAATAAAAAAAAATTATGCTATTTTTCTATACCTTGTTTTCATCTCAGTGCTCATTTCAACCTACGGTGTTTACTTCTTGTTTTCTGGTGTTTGTGTTACCATTATACGTTTGCAAATCATTCTTGTTGTAGTTGTGACAGGTATTATCACTGTTATTTCATATATATTGTGTTTCTGGGTGGCACTTATGACACTATCTTCATTTCCTGTTAGCCGTAATCGGTGAGCACAAACAGTTTGCAGTTTCAAAATCTGAACAAGGAGATGAGAAACATACATCTAGAGGTCTGTACTCACAGTGTTTTTTTTAAACCATTCCTATAATCTGCATTATGTTGTTTACACTTTAGAGGTGAGTAATGCGCAGGTGATAAGAGGTGGTAGACGAGTTGAAACTTCAACATTGGTAATCATGTAGTGATTGATGCTACTCCCTTTGCTTATTGTTTCTTGGTATGTCATAGTTGGTCTGCAACATATATAGATTATGTTGTATGAAAAAAGTTGTGTAGGTTCAAACCGATGAGGTATTAATATCTGGCGACTCGCTTGCCCTTGATGAGTCTAGCATGACTGGTGAGAGCAAATTCCCTCTTCTCTGTTGCCAATGATAGGGAAGTCGTTGATCATCTCATAATCTGTGTTGTGATATGATAACTTTTTCTTTTCTTGGCAAGTTCAAAAATATGCTATCAAGGACTCATTCTTTAACTTCTGGTTGTAAGATGCAGATGGCAATGGCATTATGCTGGTAGCTTACATGTTTTTGTGTCTTTCCTCCTTGTTATTGTCTTCTGAATTATTTAGTTTGCATGAAAAAAATGGTTGTTTATGGTAAACCTTGAAATGAAATGATTATTAAATTTGAATGAGATGTAATTTTAACTAAATTTGGTAATTAGATTTTTTTTCCTACAAGGTCATTGCTGTTTGTATTAACACCGAGTGGGGATTGCTAGTGGCTAGTATTTCAGAAGACAATTTTGAAGAAACCCCTTTGCAGGTTGAAAGCTTTTTAGATCATTGTCTCTTCAGTGTATTAGCGTTTACATGTCTTAATAACCTTCAACTTGTCTCAATCAGGTTTGCCCAAATGGAATGGTGGCTTTTAATGGTATTATTGGTCTCTTAGTTGCTCTAGCTGTCTTATT